AGCAGCGATCGCTCCCCCTGGCCAACCCCCCCCAGTTTATATACTGCCTATGATGTCATATGGTATGGAATAGCCCTTTGGCCAGTGCAGATCAACTATTCTGGCTGTGCCTCCTCCCAGTTTTTTGTGCACCTGACAGAGCATGGGAAGCTGAAAAGTCCTTGACTAGCATAAGCAGTACTTAGCAACAACTAAAACATCAGCGTGTTATCAACATTCTTCTCATCCTAAATCCAAAACACAGCACTGTGCCTGCTACTAGGAAGAAAATTAACTCTATCCCAGCTGAAACCAGGACAGAGGCACACTCCTCACAGATGCTACATTACACAAACACAGAGACTTTTCAGCTAGGGTGCAGTTACCCCAAATTTCTCTGCACAGAACAGCAACTGCTCTACCTACCACAGTGAGACTGCTCTACCTACCACAGTGAGGGATTGCTTTCAATTGACTCCTCTCTTGATTTGATGGCTGCTGCAAGGCCTTTCCCAACAGGGAATCCTTCTCTTGCCAACTTGATGCTGGGCAGAAACAGGTCTTTCCATGCCAGTTTGCCATGACGTTTGTGAGCCAGTTCATACCCACGAATTTCTCCTGGAACGGCAATGGACAGTCCTCCTGGAGCAGATAAGGAATGTATTAGTCTTCCACAGCAAGAAAAGAAAGTGATTAATGGAGTAGGAGGTAGAGCAGGCTTCTCTGTCAGCTGCAACACTTCTCTGTCTTCCCTGGTTTTAGGCAACGATTATGTATACTATGACCAGCTCAGCTTATGCATACAATGCTAACAGAATTATTCTGTCTGACATTTATGCCTACATATTCTGGACTGTTGAAACACCTCTATCCTCTTGCTGGTAACTCAGGTTTTTGGGTCATTTCCCCTCAGCAGGCTCTGTACCAGAGAAAAGCTGCTCAGAACACAGAAGCTACCATAGACGTCTGCAGTTTCCAATCCTTCAGAGGAGAACACACTACAGTAAGAGGACACAGACTGTGAACACACTTAAGCCAAAAACTTTGTTGCAGCATTGTACCTGCAATTGCAATAGATTGATTACTACATTGCACAGTGATGCAGCAGTTTGCTTCAACACTGTTTGCATTGGCATCTCCCAGAAGTTCAACACACTTCTCAAACCCCCTACAAGGTGCTGTTCCTCCTTGGTTACAAGCATGATCATGAAAAGAACTAGTTAGTATTTCTTTCTATTTTTTATTAGAAAATACTTCACTGAAAGGAAATTACTACTTCTTCTCTGGACCCCCATAACCATTAGTTGAGGCCACCACAAAAGGTATTTAGGGAGGACACTTGAACTGACAAGAACTAAGTTGATCCATCCACAAAGATTTATTCCAAGAGGTGGAAAGGAAAGATGGCAGATATGGAATAGGTCATACTCAGGGCTTTGGATTTACCTGCATTTTCATAAAGTGAAAAGCAGAAAATGCTGAGGTGACCAACTAGTTTGAAGGTTTAGTTTCCTTGTCAGGATGGAGTTTGCAGATTGTGTAAAGTAGAAGACATTTCTAGGTGAGAAATCCTGTAGATATGCAAGAACCCAACCATAAGAAATGTTCTTAATTCAGACATGTCAGTAGCAGCTAATGTTGGAGCTATGGGGTCCCCCCAAAGCAGTGAAACAGCCTTTGCCATACCTTTCAGAGCGAGCTGTGTGTTGTTCCCAAACATGTCCTCTGATGCTCTTTTTGGAGCCACCTCTCTTGCATTAATGATTTCCACTTTTCCTTTAACGACAGAGCAAGGAAGATGATGTTTAACTCTGGACTCAACACACAGGCATGGTCTCTGCTGAAGAAGTCTGACCAATGTGAGCCAGTTTCTTGGCAATTATTTTGAGGACAGCATGTTCCCTCAGAGGCTGTAAGAGTCAGTCTTTTACCTTCACTCAGGTAGGATAAATCACCTGGTTTAGATAAACAGCTCTCAAACTGTTCCAGATGTGTATGGCCCTGTCCCTTACCTGTGCTGTTGTAGATGGTAAAGAAGAGGCCCCCTCCAATGCCCATGCTGTGAGCATTCATGAGTCCTACACAAAGCAGAGCTGCAATCGCAGCATCCACTGCTGATCCGCCTTGCTGAAGGATGTCCCTGTGCAGCAGAAGAGAAGGTATCGTATGGTGACATGTTACAGTGTCTCAGCTACCCATGAGCAGTGGAGCAATCTCATCAGGGCAGCTATGACAGATTCTATAATGCACATTTGTCCACACCCAGTCTACAGGTTCCTCAGGAATTGGAAGTTTTGAGCTTCTGTCACCTAAGAGAATACATCCCAATGGTCTAGGTGCAGACCAGATCAGCCCTCATTAGAGACACATCCAAACTAGCTTGAAAACACCAAGATATGTGAAAGTACGTTTGGGGACGGGCATCCCAGACACATTCATTACACATGAGAAATGACTACTCTCTGAGGAGCCTGAAATCTGCAGCACTTGCAACTAGAACTGGAGGACAGCTTCATAAAAGGTTTTTAAAAGGAGCTTGAGAAGCATCGTATTCCCATTCTTCATGCATCTAGGGAATCTTTGCCTGCTATGTTGTCTTTGAGCAACTGCAGTAACACTGGTCAGGCATGGTAAAAGCCCAGGTTTTATTATAGCCTCCTCTTTCAACAGGAAGTTTAGAGTTTATCTGTGCTGGGAACTGCCAAGCTTGCACCAGGACATTGGGGAAACGACAGTTTTGTCTTGCACTAGAGGTGTCAGAGCTAACAAGAGTCACAGCACAATTAGCGGGTACCTTCCAATTATTGAGCACTGCCCCGCATCTGTAGCCACAGCTGCCCTCTTATAAGTGTGTGTGTCCCCTGAGTCAGAGCGCAGCCCGAAGAAGAGTCCCAGGAACAAGATGAGCCCCAGCAGGGCTGCAGTCAGGACTCCAGCCACCACATAGCGCTTCTTCATCTTCCTGTGGGAAGAGACAGGATTGTCAACTTCACTGCTTCTGGGGCACATGGGAACTAGGAAGCAGAAGATCAGGCACAAGAGCAGTCTTTTCATCTACCTTCTTTCATATCCACTGTTTCCCCTTCTACCCCCCAGCAGCCAACAGCTCTGCACATGGAAGGGCAGTTTGGGAAGGAGTGGCCTGGGTAGGTGTGAGCCCAATTCTGGCCTTGACACTTACATGAGGATGATGTCCTGTTTTGAAGTGAAGTAGAATATCAAGAGGGGATGCGATGTTCAAGATGTCCTGCTACCGTTACCTTTCAGTGGCGATAGGACAACTGGTTGCTCTTTGAGACTTTATGCTCTAAGGATTTTAGATGCTCAGCAAGCATTTAAGTTACTGCTTTGCTTGGGTGGACAGGGGCTGGATTTGATCTAGTTCCCAAATCAAGTTAGCAATACCAGCCAGAGACTTTTTACCAGATTCCCCCCCTTCAACACGTGTTGGCAGGCCCTTTGCCTCCTTTGTAATGTGATGGAGTCAAGGATTGCACCCTTGCCCACACCTTGGAGGCAGGCTGGCTGTGCCAGGTGAGCAGCCATCTGTGTTGACCTCTTCCTCCCTACTTCATAGCCACACAGTGAGTCTGTATATATTACTTCGTCCCATCTTTTCAGCCCTTGCTTTTTAGCAGGTTTCCATGAGTTCTGAGCTGTCGGCAGTGAACAGCTTCTTCGTCCCCTGAACGTCTCACAGAAAGGGTCTCCCACGTATTTCCTCACTGAGATTCATATCAAGACCTTTTCTATGGACACTGCTGGTACCACTTCTCTATGCCCCTGCCACCTCTGTGAAGAAAACCATTCTAACAACTCCAAAGCTTTTACCATCTTCCCCTTTACCCATTACTGCCATCCTATTTGCAGAGTGATCTATGTCAGTGAGCACCCCAGGAACTCCTTGGAGGCTCTTTGGTAACAGCTCTGAAGTGTTACAGTACCAGCAATGAAAAGGCCCCAAACCAGGAACTATCACTTGGGTAAGAACCTGTCTTATAGCAAGTAGGTAACCTCATACACCAAAAAAGCAGCAGATTCATAGGTGAGAAGGGAAATCCAAGGAGCAGAACATAACTGGTGTTAGTCATGACTCACATCATCTTCAGAGGAAAAATTTTTTAAAAATTTAACTTCATACAATCTGCTTTTAAATACCATGTCTGTGAAGGAGTCTCTGTTCGGAAGGTTGTCAATGACCAGTGCAAGAGACATCAATCATTAGCAAGCAACCTTGGCCTAAGTTATTTGGCACACCCCAGTGTGAGCGCAGCACCCCATCCTGTTCAGGGCCCTTGGCCAGAGCACCTTTCCAATGAGCCTGCCACTTCTAGAGCGCGATGGCCAGTGCCCATGTTTCCACGTTTCCCAGTCCTGCTCTTGGGGTGCACAGGGTTACTGTTCATCTGTGAGCGAGCATAGGACACCAAGAAGCTCTCTGGCAAGCATATTCCAGATACACACCAGGATGAGTCAAGAGATATTGAGGGGATAGAGAGTCACTGCCACCTTGTTGGGACTGACAGTTCATGAAATACAGCTTGAACAGCTACTCTTCAACCCATTTCCTTTCCCATTACAGGATTGTTCCAGCAAAAAAGTCCTAAATTCATCGTATTGCCTTCAGGGACCAACTTCCATCTGTGTTATGCAGCTTTGCGTTTTCACTGTGACTACTGTACTTGCGCAATAGCCAAGATGCCCTTTACCTTACTGAAGCATCTGTCGTCCTCAGAGACAAGCCAATCCGTGGCATTGTGGGTGAAGAGTGGATCCACCAACCCCACCCTCTGTGGATGTTCAACAGCCCAAAGTAGAGCAAACTCCAGCAGTCAGAGCAGCACTTGGTGCCTTGCAGCAGCAGCACAGGCAGGATCAGGGAGCAGTGAGTGTGCCAGCACTGAGCTAACTAGAGGAAACAGGCCAGGCCAGCCAAACCAAAACTTTTCTCAGAGGGAGGATATTAGCAAGCACTGCCCCCTCAACCTCACCCCCACTCCTGTTATTTAAATTAGGAGATACACATTTGCTATCCAACCCCTGTATCTGCAAGTCTCAGTCTGAGCACTAAAGGTGTCCGTCTCCAAGTAAAGCAGCTCAAACCAGGGTGTAAATCTACTGTATGTGCTGTTCTGTAAGCAAATGTCAACTGAGGGCAGTAAAAGGTAAATGGATGAAACCTCTTTCCAGGTTCTAGAACTTGGTTTACACTCAACTACTTTTAAAAGAGACCAGTGGCATGTTTGCAGAGCAATGACTGTGCAGGGAAACAGAGAAGCCATTATGTCCCCAACAATAGCTCACACACAGCCTCAGAGTTTAAAGACAGTTTTGTTTGTTGGCAGAGAGAGTTCAGCTTCAGCACTGGCAGTCTCCTCCAGGCTTCACAAGAAATGCCATGGGATCTTTTATCTGTGCCCCAGCTAGGCAGAAGGTACTTTGTTTCATCTGAAGGCTGCTCTATGCTGGGCTGTCCTGCAAGCCTGGGGTGACTCAAGCCCCATAGCTGGTGTGTTAACCCATAGGCTCCTGGCTGGGGCTCTGCAGTTGTCCTCCGCGACTGCTTGCCTCACTGCCGTGCTCCTGTAAAGATTTACTGCCCTGTCAGGCAAGCTATTCTGAGAGCAGGAGAGAAGAAGGGGAAACCTCAGATGGTACCTCTGCTCTCACCTTTCACCTCCCCTCCGGATTCGGATGACACTCGGGAGCATCTCCTAGACACATAAGAGCTCCACGCTGAGTGCCCAGCTGCCCGGTGAGTGCACAGACCTTGAAAAGGGCCCTCCAGCCCACTTCATATGCTTCAGGCACAGCTCCAGGCTGTCTGCCAGCCCCTGGGGTGAGGATAAGACACGCACCTGCCCCCAGGGCAGGAACGAGCACACAGACTGCCGTGAAGAAGAGACACTGATTGCTGGGCACTGCTCCTGCACTGCGTTGTGGTACCATGTTGCCCTCTGGGCTGGGCCTCTGGGACCTAAGTGGGGCCAGAAAAAGCAAATGCTCTTAATAAAAGTGCATCTGTGCCATCTGTCAGATTGATCCTGCTAAGGAAGAAGCAGATGCATGAGCTAAAGATCTGAAGCTTTCTCTTCTGCAACAGTACAGAGAGCAAACTCAGCTGAGAATAACCCTCTCCACCTTAACCACCAGCTCAACTCCCATAAGCTCCTTAACCTATTTCAGGCCTGACCCTAGAAGAAAGCATACCTTGCGCAGTCCTCACTGCCTTCCTCACTGTGGCACAGCAGAGAGCCGAACAGGCATTTTGTTTGCCGTACAGCAATTGGGAGATAGATCAGGAGCCTGTAGATATCCCATTCTCTAACCCACCTCTCCATACTGGCCGTGTGCCCTGGGTAGCAGAATTGCAGGAACAGCTGAGTTTTTACACCAACAGTCTTTTTGAGCCTTGGCTCTTAAGTCAAGTCCCCACTATGATTTACTGTTGGGAGTGGAGCAGCAGCTGCAGGCCGCCACGTGAGCTGGATCCCCAACTATTGTCTGCTGAGGCTGGTTTTAACCTCCAGCTCTCTGCCAAATCCAGCTGTTTGGAAGCTTGGCTAGCACTTCAGTCACACAGTGCTGCTTGGCAGCAGCAATACGTCTCCAGGAGAGAGGGGCTATAAAACCATTAAAAGCAATATGATTATTTCTCACTGTTATAAAGGTCCAACAGCCAGTCCTAGCCATGGAATTTAAAATGTAGCCTAATAGTCTGTCTTAATTTATATTAGGAGAGGGGGAGGATCAGCAGGTAGCAGAGTTATGCTTGTACAAGCAATGCCATTGAGCTGTATTCAGATGTGTCACAACATTCACAACATTATTTAAACATGACACTGTTCTTGAATTAAAAGAACCCAGTGCAACAGGCTAGCTAGTGTCAGGCAAGGGATACAGGGTCTGACATTTCTGCCAGTAGGGCTGGGGCATGCTGTAGAGATGAGGAACCTGCCATGGTCAAGGAAAGCACCAGGATAACTGAAAGAGGAGAAAGAGGAGACGTACCGGCCAGAAAGCAGGGGAGAGAGAACAGTGGGGTAGCACAGGATGACAAAAGAGTCCAGGTATGGTCAGGCACTGCCTTGTTCTTGAATGAAGTAGTGAAGAAAGCATCCAGTGACAACACCTAAAACTTTAACCACAAACTTTAACCAAACAGGCTTCTGCTTTAAACCCATCTTGTGACAGCTGTATACCTCAGCACCCACTCCTAAGAGTTCCTTGTACCCCCACCCCCAGCCCAGTAGCCAATACTTGGCCATCAGCTTTGAGACATCTGTCCTTACTTTCCCCAGGCAGCGCATGTTATGCAAGGATAGATTGGACGTCTTGAATCTTGTCACAGGACATAGGCTATGCTCTTCTGATAAAACTCAGTCTAATCCATGTCAATAACATTGCCATATTTAAATAATTAATAACAAGCAGTTGAAATAATGTTTTCACACACTACTGTTGTGTAGGGTGAACTGTCAGTGACTTCTGAGTGAGAATGTATGTAAAGTGAGCAGCCACAAGATTTCCACAGGGTCCCCAGGACTATAAGCCAACAGAGGCCTTGAAAGAGTAGAACCAGGAACAGAGGCCCGAGGGCTATTCACACAAATGTCCCATTACTGATCCATCACTATGTGACAACCCGACAAAGGTGCCTGCAACTGATCGTACAGGTGGAGCCATCTCTGAAGTGTATATAAGACTGTAAGACAGCTACTTGCACTGACACCATACTTCAGGATCAGGTATGCAGAATCGATCACTCTGACATCCTGTCTTGTTACAGGTGTAAGTACTGTTTGACAGGACAAGCTACTTATTCCCAAGGGCTGTTCCCAGCATCCTTCCAGGGGGCCAGGTCATATTCAGAGGTGAAGAAGGAGTTATATCCATTCTTGTGCTAATGGCTGGGGGTGGGGTCCTTGTCAACCACCAAGCTGGTGCTGGTTCCCCATGCCA